TTTTTTTACTATGCAAAGGCTTTCAACTGCGTAGATCAGGACAAGCTATGCACAACATTGTGGAGAATGAATATTCCAGAACACTTAATTATGCTCCTGAGGAATATATACGTAGACCAAGAGGCCGTTTTTTTTTAACAGAACAAGGGAACATTGAATGCTTTAAAATCAGGTAAGGTGTGTGCCAGGGTTTTATTCTTTCATCATACTTATTCAATTTGTATTCTGAGCAAATAATTGGAGAAGCTGGATTATATGAAGAAGAACACGTCATCAGGACTGGAGGTAGACCCATTAACAATGAGCGATATGCAGATGTTACAACCTTGCTTGTTGAAAGTTAAGAGGACTTAAAATACTTATCGATGAAGACCAAAGACAACAGCCTTTGGTATGAGTTGCATCTCAATGTAAAGAAACAAAAATTCTTACCACTGGAGCAATAAATAACATCATGATAAATGGACAAAAGATTGAAGTTGTCAAAGATTTCATTTTGCTCAGATCCACCATCAACACTCATGGAACCAGCAGTCAAGAAATCAAACGATGTATTGCATTAGGCAAATCAGCTGCACCACCCCTTGGAAGTGTTGCAGAGCAAAGATATCAGTTTGAGGACTAAGGTGTGCCTGACCCAAGCATGGTATTTTCAGTAGTTTCATATGCATGTGAATGTTGGACAATGAATAAGAAAGACCATAGAAGAATTAATGCATTTGAGTTATGGTGTTGGAGAATAATATTACAAGTACCATCTATTGCTAGAAGCACAAACTGTGTTGGGTGAAGTACAACCAGAATGTTCCTTTGAAGCCAGGACGGCAAGACTTCATCTCTCATACTTGGTACATATTGTCAGGAAGGACCAGTCCCTGGAGAAGGTTAGCATGCTAGGTAGAGTGGAAGGTCAGCGAAAAACAGGGAGACCCCCAAAGAGATGGATTGGCACGGTGGCAGTAGCAAAGGGCTCAAAGTTAACAACAATTTTGAGGTTCAAGCAGGACCTGATAGTGTTTCCTTATGTGTGCAAAAGGTCACTATGAGTCAACCAACTGGATGGGAACTTAACAACAATAACAACAACATACACATTCTATTTCCCTTAATATAGGTATTTTGTGATAATTAACTTTTTAATGATATAGTGTTTAGTCAGTGCCTGACAGGTAATGTTAGTTCAGATAATGCTTTGAAATCATGAAAAGAAGAAGGAAGAATATCTACCAAAAGAGATATAATTTAAATATAGCTTTAATGTCCAAGTTAAATTATATAAAAAATAAATGCCATGAGAAGGAATGAAATTAATGAGTTTCTGGAAAAAGCTCCAAATAATAACTTGAGTTTGAGTTGGGTCATGATGGTTGAATGGAGATAAGATAAATCAAAAAAAGAGAGACAGGCATATCAAATGGAAAAATGAAAACCATAGTAATATTCAAATGCAAGTGTGATGAAAGCAGTGAACTGACAGAACTCACTAAAATGACTTGGAATTAATGACTCCCTTCTCTGTGCTCTCCTGGCACCACATTCATACCTCCACAGGAACAATGTACAGTTTCTTAAGATAGACATCACATTTATCTCTGCTTCCTAGAAGCCAAAGCAAAGAGGGAAAATGTTCTTATTACATGATTAATTGTTGTGATGTTGTTATTAAGTGCCATAGAGTTGGTTCCGACTCATAGTGACTATGGATCCAAGGAGCGGTTAGTGAGTTTGAACCGCCAACCTTGTGGTTCAAACTAACCTTGTGG